TCCCTTACCTACAGAGAAGAAGACGAACAACAACTAAACAGGTCGTATGTTTTATAACGTTTTGTGAGCTCTCTCTCTCGATAGCGAATAGGGTAGAATATAAGTTTAATTATCTCCTGATTTGTATATTAGTTGTAGTAGTTCTATCTCTCGTTCATTGAGATTTTTGTATGATTTATTTTCTTGTTTTATTAAATTTAATATTTCGTTTTAATTAAAAATGTCTTTTAATTGCGTGACCGAATCAGATCACATACGCGTATTAATCCGCGTATAATAAGATTGATTAACTGGTGTCAAGGAATCCTGATGAGCATCTGAACTTCGCAGTTCGGATCATATAGCGATTATCGCCCTCCTATAAGAACTTTTAAGATCGGATCTCGCGATTCGAAACTAAGGAGACAGATTTCGGATAATCTGTGCCGATTAAGTGTTACACGAGTATTATCAACTCCGTAACCCCGGCTACTCTCACAGTGCGTTGCTCCGCAACGAAAACAAGCTTGAGCAATGGCGACGTTGAACGGTGCACACTCGGTAAGTAATCCTACAATTTTTTGTTTATAGCGTAGTTTATATGGATTATTCCCAAAAAATATACGTGTTTTGGAAATGTTGAGTCAAATTAGTCTAGAATCGATTCATTTTATGGAAGAAAACCTTTCAAACAGCTGTAGTCCGTAAACTTCACACGTGTCGGGCTGTGATTGGAAATGACTCGTAAGAAATCGATTCATAAAGAACGGAACGTATCTACCGTGTTATAGGGGGTCGATTGTACAATATATAAATAACAACACGGTTTCGATAATAATAAAGAATACTAGAAAATAAAAACGGCAGTTGACATCACAGCAAGGACTAACTAAATAAAGATGGAAAACTTGCCAAGTGTTGGTTAAGAGGTCACTTCATTGTGCCAGTATACAACAATAAATAAACAAGTTATCAATATTGATTGATTAATCTTTCAATCATTTTAATGGCCGAGTAAATCATGCAATGATTGACTCAGTAGTGTTTGTATTAAAAGAAAAATACAATTATTAATAACTCCAGAGCTTTTTGTCAAAAATTTCTGAAATTTTGCAGGGAAGTTTGTTTATTAAAAGGATCGATGCTGTAAAATTTTTGTGGTTGACGGTTGAGGGAGTGGAGAGATAATAGTGGTCGTGTTTATCTCCAGTAGGGTCGAACTTAATGACGATTTTACGGTTATTAGTTTTTACAATATTTATAAAACCCATCCCTACTCACAAAATTAAGGTTTTTGCCATTTTATAATAGTTAAAAAATATCAAAAGTTTTTAAAATAATAAAATATGACAAATAATAAACTTATCTTCTTTAATACAGTACATAACAAAATCATTAAAATGAGTGGGCCTCAAAAGCAAATATTATTGATGCCCTCGTAAATGTGAGGCCCTATCAAAGGAGGACAAATTCCACGCAAGTCTTTGATAATAGGATTTGCTATTACAATAGGACCAGTAGGACGAGGCCCTCTTAAATGTGAGGCCTTCGTGGAAAGGGGGCAAATTCCTTTATTACAAGGTCTGCTACTACAAAGGGACCAGCAGGAAGAGGGAGCAAACGCTAATAAGAAAATAAGAAAAAGCAAATATAAAATACTTTAAAAATCCACTTAAAATATCTTTTAACTTAAAAAAAAACCTAATTAATCACACAGAAATAATTTAAACTTTTAATTAATTAAGTAACAAAATTAAATACTAATTTATGTATAAGAAAAATATTATTTATTATTTTTTTAAATTTAGAATTAATGTTTATAAATACCGAAAAAAAAGTTTATAAATTTTTATTAAGATCAGAAATTATCNAAAATATTATATTAATATTTTAATATGTTATATACACCAAATAACGATTGATATATTAATTAATATACGTGGTTTGCAAACAAATTGCATGTTTTCTTGAAAGTGTTGCAAACTGGTTCGAATTTTAACGTTTACTATATGCCTATTAGATATACAGTGTGTCAGTGAAAGATCTACATTATTATAAAATTTCATTTAAAAAAATACGAAAAGATCTATCAAAATGTGATTTGCGATTAAACAAAAATTAACTCAAGAAGATATTTTTATTTACAAAAATTACAGTAGAGCCTCGATTATCCGATCCCCGATTAACCGACACCTTGGTTAACCGACCGTCCTAGTAGGCAAATTTCAAATGTCCGCTAGTGATGTGGCGCTACAATATTTGGCTACTTTAATATTATATATACTAATATACTAATTACATGGGATATAATAATATACTACATTAATAATGGATTTTTTCCTACTTTTCGGTTATCCGACTTTTCAATTATCCGACCAACCCCAGTTCCCAATTGAGTCGGATAATCGAGGCTCTACTGTAATACCAAAAAGTTAATTGATTTGTGTACATTTAATGAACCTGAACGCGTGCTTCTTTAGTTGCACGAAGAATGTTCAATCAATAACTGATTTATTGCCAATTGTCGTTTTGTATTTTCTGTGTAAACATTGGAGATAGTAAGGATCCTTTCTTTTAAAAAGTATAACTGTTACGAACAGGCGTACTGTACGCAATGTTTTTCACGTAACCCCTGCCATTAGTAAGGAGCAGGGTGTCGAATGCTGCGGCAAATCCATCATCCAGGAAACAATTTATCGAACGAAATAATTATGGAAATGCCCAGTGAAGAGTACTTGTTTGTTTTGTTTTTAGTTATGGCAACGCAACACTTTGGCAATGTTTTCCCGGAGGTCTATTTAAGGGAAGTTGGCCTGTATTTAAGCGTTACAGACGTGGAGAAAACTCAAGAAACTTCACGTGGCCAGCGCGTACGACCGAACTCCCAGTGTCCAGGGAACGATGACCCGCTTGGCCACCGGTGAGCCGTCAGTTGAACTACGTGGTAAGAAATTAAGTATCGATTAGACATTCTTTGCGCAACTAAAAGACCACACGTTGAGTCACTGAATGTACGCAAAACAATTTCGGCTTTTGTATTAATTTTTGTAATAAAAAAATCTTTCTGATTTAATCTTTCTTTTACCGCAAATTCCACTTCCACAGTTATTTGTATTTTTTAAATAAAATTTTATAATAATGTAGCTGTTTCTCGGACACCCTTTATTAATTTCATCAAAAATTTCTATTAATAACAATTTTACTGGTTATTAGCATTTATAAAACCTGTCCCTACTCTCAAAATTAAGATTTTTGCCATTTTATAATAGTTAAAAAACTGTTTTTTAATAAAATATGATAGTAGATAGTGCAATCAAAATTTTAAAATGTTGCCTGGAAAGTAAAGCAACCCTTTGCTGGTTTATTTCTGTCTTTTAATTAAAGATTATCAATTACGTTAACACGTGCTGTAAATTAATTTCGGAATTTTAATTAAAATTAACATAAATATAACGTATTAAGTAGTTCATATTTAATATTAAATAATTTAATGTCGCAATAAGTTAAATAAGAAAGTTCTTATAATTCGCACAATCTCATATACTACGAATTAAAGCACGTTTAAGGTATTATCTTTTTACTGTTATTATTGTAAATGAAAATTTATTACTTAATTTAAAACTTCACGAAAAAGATGACATTTTTTTCTTATTTAATCATTTATCGTTACTTAATTTAATTATCAATTAAAGTTTAATGCTTTTACTTATGTGTGTTGTTATTATGCACTTCACACATTAAGTTTCTTAAATTTTCGTCTTTTCTAAATAAATAAAAATCGATTACAAAATTAGAAAACGATATTTATAATAGTAATGAAGGCGTTTATGTTGTTTCCTCCACTAAAGTCTCGTCTTTGTCGTGTTAATTTCTGTCTAAGTCACGACTGATTACGGCGAGAGGTATCTATTTTCTGGTAGTCTTTCGTGACATAATTTGCATCCCACATGATATTTTAAAAGCCAAGTTTATATTTTTTCATTAGAAGACTGTAATTCAGTCGTAAAATGCTTTATTTGATAATTGTAGTTAATACAGAATGAGAGAGAAAATCACATAATTAATACCCCGCTACAGAATATAGAATGTCCCCAAAGGATGTAGTACATTGAACATATCATGGAATCGCTCGAGGTAGGTCAATAAAATTATTCAGAAGTGAATTCATTGTGAATTTCTGACCCTAAATGATGTGTCATATAACTTCTTTCCAATTACAGTTTAGAGGTTGCATTCAATATGGCCGCCATCAAAATGGCAGCCGTGCGTGTAACACATCAATCTGTTTTCCTCTTGGTCTAATGTCCCTGATACGAGCGAATTAACTTTATGTACATTCTATATTTTGTAGCAAGGGTGTTAAGTAACTTTCTTTCTCACCCTGTAGATGACTTGCCAAGCGCATTATATTTTCTGTCACAATGCCTGGTAAACCTTTTCATTGACTTTTTGTAATATGGCTATAATTACCTATTTTAAAATAATAAATACAAACTAATTCCTATCCATACACAATTTCTACGGGAATAATTACATAATCTCTTTTTTACTATATTCAAGTGAAACTTCTAGGTTTATAACAAATACAATGATTACACGAGACAATAATACAGTATTAATAATTATGTAATAGATTCCTACATATTTGTATATATAAATATCTATAATATTTGTAAAATAAACGTCAAATCCTATTCAAAACAGTATATTTCTGTGCTTACTTACAAAGTACTAATATCTTGAATAGTCATTAAAGTATATCTTTCTCTTATGACATTGTAATTCAAGGCGATTATTTCAAATAAATCTTAATTTTTAATTTATGAGGAAATTCTTATTTTTCGTAAATTTTTTAAATTTATATCCAACGTAATTAACATCGCTATCAGCACCGTTGGTTGGACAACATTTGAAATATAACTATTTACGTTGCGAAAACGTAACCAATTAGAATCGTGCTTTCAATCAAAGTTAGTATAAATTGAGAGAAAAATCACAGGTTTTCATACGATAAACATTCTTTAAGAATAATTAATTTGAACGATGATAACTTTGATTTTGATCGTCTCTTTCGTAGCAGCAGGTAAGTCAATGTGTTTAAATTAATTTAAGAAATTAAGATTTTTATATATAATTTTTGATTTCTTGGATTTACTTCAATATTCACTTATAGATTAACGCAATAATTTCTTTAGTTGAAAGTCATATTTACACATTATTAAATTTCAATTACGCGGTTCCTCGAGTACTATTTTAAGAAGAAATCTTTTTCGTATTTTTATCGTCTCTCTACTCTCTAATATGCAGCCGAAGAAAGACACTCGCAAACCATTTATTTATATAACATTACAACCTTAAAAACTTTCCTCTTTGGCAATATTATTCCGAGCTTCCTCCCTTCGAAAATCTCCAATTATCTACTGAAAATAACACCGAAAACATTCGTACCGAATGAAAATGAATATGTGACGATTGCTTATACTTAAATCGCTTACTGAATTTTAAAGTTGTCTGCATTATTTACATATAGCGAACGATGAGGGGCGAAAATCCAAAATTCGTATTGTCAAATCAGTGTTGCCGATTACACTACTGAGAATCGTATTTCTCGGCTCGAATTGTGTGGTATCATACCGTAATACAAAACGTTATTGCTGAACTTTCCATAATAATTGTTTCCATTACAACTACTATTAAAGTCTTCGGATTTGTTCGGGAAATATTAAAGGAATGGGCCTGATTTCTGAAACACATTCTTTAATACACAAAACTCTTTACAAAATTTCAGAAATTTTCGACAATATGCACACGAAATATTATTTAAACTAAATATATATTAATTCCTGCAGTTGAAAATGCTCGGAGACACGGATACATCATCGTGGACGGAGAACCCATGGAATGTCCTTTGGAAGAAGAAAGATTCCTCGAACAAGATACAGATTACTGTGATTTGAAATGCAAGGAACGTGGAGCCAAATCAGGAGTCTGCTGTTACGGAGGTTGCTTTTGTTACGATATTCCAGATGACGAAAAAGTAGTGGACGTTACTCCATTTCGGAACAGATTATGTAAATATCTCACAAAATTTTGGGATAAATAAATATGGAATGATATCAACACTCTGGTAATACAATAGTAAAGAAATAAGTACATTTAGCAGTTTACTTTGTATATTTAATTTGTAATTGTTATCATAAAATTATTAATAAAATTTCTCCGCATTGTAAAAATTATTTATTTTAGTATTGTATGAATATTATTTTTTGTTTCAATTTAGAATGAATGCCAAATTAATAAATATACAGTAAGGCATCTTTTAACGCCGATTCGATATAATGCGGTCTCTAACAATATATATATGTGATAGCAACATCTTACACTAAATTACGTGTATCGTAATTTAGTACAGGAAAATATTCATAACTTACATGAATTCATGGAGAGAAGTCTTTCAATACAGAACGCATTCTATTGTATATATGAAAAAAATTTATTTAAAATATAATCTGAAAATAGCTTATAATATTATTATAGGAAAACAATATATTTTTTCTTATACTTTTGTATTTAGTGAGATTTAAATGTTCACAAGTCGTCTATTGGATAACAACACGAGAAATTAAATACTTGATATACTTGGTCACATTTTCATTACTTACATTGATGCTGAATAATGGATTTATTAAAAAATAAAATTTTATGGTGGAAAAAACCACTTTTGTTTTCAAGAAACCTTCAACAAATAAGTTAATTAACAATACAAATTTCGATACTGAACGCCTTAACAGATAATTCTGTTAAGAACGTTCTTTCTTCATATATAGTGAGAACTTTCGATACCTTTTGGTTCTATTTTCAACCATGTATCGTTTGCAATAGGGTGAATCCACATTGTACCAGACACTTAACTACACCGACAAAAATTGAATTATTCAGTGAACTTGACTTCTTCCATAAAAATAAGACTAAGTAAGCACTGCATTTTTCACAACTGTCTCTATTATGATGAACGGTATTCATGTTTAACCATTTACTCAATTATAGAAGAAAACGTCCAACTACCATTTAATGTTTAATCATTAAGAGAAGACGAAATCGAAATAGATATTGCAATATTTCCATTACTTCCAGTCTTTAATACTTGTCATTTTTCATTTACAATCGAAGAGTGCTTTGAAATTAACACAGGAAAAATGCCGTACGTATCACTGCTAATCAACATACTAGAAGAGAAACTGAAGTGCTTCATCGGAATTAGAGATTTTGGGATCGTTTTTTTACATATTACAATAAGAAAAATGGTTATATTAATTATTATATTCGCTGGATTTAGTAATACAGTATCGGAAACAATACACACACGCGGCGACATTGCGCAAAAGTCAAAATGTTTTCACTAGAGAGGTTGTGGCACACAATTAGCGTAGTGTGTTCTACCGTACGTTTTGACTACCTCATACTTTTGTCGAGGGGAGTAGTGGCTTATGTAAATTCGAAAGCAGCTTGAAAAATTAATTTTTAGAAAATGTACAAACGTATTACGCTGTCCATGGTAAAAGATGCCGTGGAAGAACAAACCTACTTTAAGATAAGCTATTATGGAAACAAATATATGTAAATTCTATAGGCACAAGTTTAGAAGTTTAAACCGATATTCTCCTCTCTATGCTAGACGTAGTCAACGCCATTATCAACCTTCTAGAATTGCCAAATGGCGGCGCTCGACGTCCGACGTTCACGCTTTGGGCTGAATACGACGGCCGCAACCTCTCTGTTATAGCGCGAAAATAAAGAATAAAAAGCGAACACGTCATGTCTATTGAATTTGTACGTAATAGGATAGAAAAGATGGAGGACGGCTTATAGTTGCTTGCTTTGAATAGTTTAAAACACCGACGCAATATCATCTTGAAAGCAATCCTGTTGGTCGACGAGCAGCGCTGATACAGCTTTACCGTAAGCCATCTTTTGAACTACATGTTTCCTGCAACGCTCTTTATATTTCATTTGATAACTGAGGTCGTTTCCATATCTTTCAGTCATCGTGTCGTTCATATTTTGCATTTCTCACAAAATTAATTAATGTGGTTCATTTGTTACTTATCAGAGGAAGCATTATCCGGTCTCGTCTTTCATGTATCTAGCTCCGTTCTCGAGATAAAAAAAGACAGGAGGAATTCTCTAACTGCAGACCAATAAGCGTTTTGTTTGCTTGTCCTATTATAATTACTTAACTTAACAGTAAAGTAGAGGGTGTCCATGGAAGGTTGAGAAATTCTTGAAGGCGTCAGAGTTTGCAGACGAATGAAACTCCAAAACTTTCAAGGAAGTTTTTCAGCCACAATCGTAATTTTCACACGGTAAAACCCATCGGTGACTCAGTGAGTTGGCCTACACCGTTTAATGTACAAAACTATTTTTGTTAACGTCAGGCTTTTCTGATGTGTTCATTTGGCCTATCGTTTCTATTCTCTACGCGAACGTTTCCCTATTTTATTGTAGCTTAGTACAGTAAAAGCAAAAATGGATAACTCATACAAACAATAACGAGTAGCTGCGGCATACCAGCGTTTCCACCAAAGCGGAAATTGCTGAATGCACCCTCCAGCAGCTTAGCTAAATTACAAAAATAGATAAAATTGGGGTTCGATACTTGAAGTTTATTGTTTTTCCGGTTATAAGAATCATGATAAAATCAGAATTTTTATTCATCTTTATACGAGAATATTAGGTTTTTGCGTGCGTATTGACGTTAACATTAATGTACGAGTATATACGAGGAAAGGTGCTCGTAAATGAAGCAATTCGGCCAAACTTTTAATATAAAATTTCGTGGCAACGCAACAATAAAACTCTGTAATTAAAAATTGTCAGAGTTTTGTTGTATTTTTATTTCGTGGGATCAAAATTTTCTCGTTTCCAGTGTTTTTCTCAGTTTTGTTACGTTTACGTCGATTNGGCATACCAGCGTTTCCACCAAAGCGGAAATTGCTGAATGCACCCTCCAGCAGCTTAGCTAAATTACAAAAATAGATAAAATTGGGTTTCGATACTTGAAGTTTATTGTTTTTCCGGTTGTAAGAATCATGATAAAATCGGAATTTTTATTCATCTTTATACGAGAATATTATGTTTTTCCGTGCGTATTGACGTTAACATTAATGTACGAGTATATACGAGGAAAGGTACGCGTAAATGACGCAATTCGTCCAAACTTTTAACAGATTTAAAAACATTTTATTAAGAAATAATAAAGATAATTACAATATATATTTGTGTTTGGAGACATACAAGCATGTCAATGGAACAGTGGTGACATAGCGCGATTCACAAGGGCACTAGCCAGCCAGATGTTATTAAATTTCGTGGCAACGCAACAATAAAACTCTGCAATTAAAAATTGTCAGAGTTTTGTTGTATTTTTATTTCGTGGGATCAAAATTTTCTCGTTTCCAGTGTTTTTCTCAGTTTTGTTACGTTTACGTCGATTTTATCGGTAAGTACAGGCTACAACGTTACTAATTTTACGTATTTTTGAGCATTGTTAACGCGAATATCACAATTAGTGTCAATGATTTTTTACGAATCTCTATTTCCATAACAATTGGTCGGTTTTGACAGAGACAAGGAACGGGGTCTTTCCACTTATTTTCACTCGTCGTTAAGCCCAAATGTAATGAAATTTTTATAACAAAATCTAAATTAATAAATACATTACATTACTATAGTTTATATACGCTTCATATACCACATGAAATGTGCACCGTTATAGTCTGAACGTTAATTAAACAGAATAATTCGAGATTATTCGTCTCTATTTTCACAAATGTTTTGTGTTATGGCAATATTGATTTGTTATAATTAAGGCGATATTTTTAAAATTACTTTTTCATAAGAAATCTTACAATTTACTTGAAATTAAATTAACAAAACGAATGTTATTTTAACGAATATAACTTGCATTTTCGTAATATACGTTTCCTTCTTTTGCAGAATGGACAATTTCGAGGAGTTAAAGAAATGGCACACCTCGGCCAATGGATGATAAGCGGGAGGAAAGCGCCTCGTCGTATTCGGGTCCGAGTAATTCGGGTGCTTCCGAAAGACGTCGAGGAGAGCGGAGAGTGCGAGTCGCCTACACCGGGCAACAAACGGGTTGTCAATACTCTCGACGATGTGGTCGACTATCTGGGACGAAGATACCCAGAAGTCGCGGAATGAACGGTGGAGTGTCGACTACGAGAGATAGGACAGTTCAAAGTGATCGTGGAAACAATCTGTCAAGCAGAAGAAGCCTTGGTGGAAGAAGCTTTTCTTCTGCTGCATAAAAAGAAATTTTTTCAATGCCGAGGTCACTACCACCACTTTTCAACCAATACGACTTTTCCATACCGTAATTACGTTTTNTTGTTCAAAATAAACAAAAATTTTACGAATTTGCTGATTTGCACTTGGCGAATTACGACACTGTTTATGTACATGATGGAATGCATAACTTTTTTCTTTCAACAACGTCTCACCCAGCACAGTGGTCATAAACTCTTAATATATTTTACGTAGTAATAAAAATATAACTTGACATACGTATTTATAAATAGTTTATATTCAAAGTACATCAACATCATTTCTATGACCAAGGGTGGCGTAAGGCATGGACGACGTGGGCCACCGCCTATGCTTCGCGGTTCGAAGGGCCTCGCGCCTCGAAGGTTTATCCATTACTTAAAAGCCGCGAACGCGATGAAAAAATTTTACTCGTCATAAAACAATAAACAGTTTGTCGAATTTTTATTCATAAAAATGCAGNGCCTCGCGCCTCGAAGGTTTATGCATTACTTAAAAGCCGCGAACGCGACGAAAAAATTTTACTCGTCATAAAACAATAAACAGTTTGTCAAATTTTTATTCATAAAAATGCAGTCTCAGCTGCTTTTTATTTTATAAAATTCGTCTTCTTGCGCCACCAGAGAGCCTTTTAAACAATAGGTAGTCTGTTAGCGTTGGTCAGTAGTAGTCGAAGTTTAATACGAACGTTTGTTTCTTGAAAATTTGATCGCGATTTAAATACAGTATTTACTTTTAATATTACCGATATGTCATCGAAAAGAAAACGTGTTATATTATCATTAAAAGACAAATTAAAGTATTTNTTTAATATTACCGATATGTCATCGAAAGGAAAACGTGTTGTATTATCATTAAAAGACTAATTAAAGTATTTGTTTCGATTATC